GTTCCATTGTTGAAGAAAAATTTTAAATTGTATGGAGAATATATAATTTTTGCACACAACCTATAAAAATATTCTTCTCACATAAATATCCCCCTAGACCTTCATCTTTCTGCCTGCTGTATTCCAGGACATTTTCCCCATTGAACTTCCTCCTTTTGAGAAGGAGCTCCCACAAGGTGTGTTGTCTGTTCTTGGAGGCATGACTGACATGAGAAAAATTAAGAAAGAAACTAGGTACCAGTGTGAACAATGCAAAGAAAGCAGGTTTCAAAAAGGTACCACACCTAGAAATCCCTCAATTAGTATGACTAATGTGTATATTGCTACCTATTAAAAGAAATCAATTTTTAATTACTATGTTTAAATTGAAGAATGTTTTACCGCACTAATCAAGTATTAAGTATACACTAATCAAAAATGCATTAATTGAATGCGCATTAATCGAAGGATGCTGTGGTGGACTTCACCACATTAATTTAACTTTAGATTAGGAAACAAGACTGATGTGTAAAAGGATAAGCAAAGACATCGTTACACATAAAATATGTATTTAACAAGATGTACAATATCAAACAACCATGTGAAAGAGCATGCATTTAAGTAAGAAAAAGTTGAGTAAAACAAGAGTTGTTTCTCTTTAACTATATTTTTAGTATTCCAAAGTTCACTGGAAGAATGTTTATGAGAGTTTCTTATAATGACTGTTCTCAGAAGATTTTGCTGTGTAAGAAAAGATTATGTGAGTGTATAAGGAATGTTCAGCATGTGAGTGGTGTATGTGAGTGAGAAGGTTGGCACATGGTTTCAATTGTCGTGGATTTGTTTGGCAGCTGAATTCTCACTAATTAGCTAAGAAAAATTCCTGCTTATATAAGTGACTATAGGCTCCAGATCACTGCACAGGAAAAGCTACTCTTTACGTGCAGTCAATCTGATTGGTTGGCATTGACCAATCAGTTTTGAGGAGACTTAAGAAAACTTTGGTGATCCGTTTCTCCCAAAAATGCACAAAACTGACTACATGAAAATAGAGCGATTACAAAATTGTTGCATTGCTGCGATTTGTAAATTGTCCATAATAATGTAGTGGTGATTTATTAACCAATGAATGCTTGTCATTGTATGTGATTTGTATTTGTGTATGCATGTGTGATATAGATCGACACAATGCCTTTAATAATTTTTCTAATCAGTTTTTTTTGTAGAGGTACAATAAATGAAGTAATTTTTTTGCAATTATTTTATTTTATATATTTTTAGGGTTTTTTTTTTTCATTTGTATAGTGAACTGTTAAAATAAAAGTGGGTTACAAAGGTTTTTTTTTTACTGCAGATTAGATATCTCAGCATAATCCCTAGGGTGTTATTTTCTGTGTTAATGTTTTTGGTCTTTAAATTCACAAAAAGATATTTTTTGCATTGGCATATTATTGAATACTTGAAACAAAAGGTTATTTCCAGATTTTCATAATTTTTAATTCTGCAAAATATAAGAATAATATCAAAGGATGAAATAAATAGCAAAATGAAAGATCACGTGCACAATGTATAAAGTTGATAAACTTGTTTACTATTCTCACAAATCACATTTAAAAAAAAAAGAAATAGATGTAAAAGGGGAATAACTCTCAAAGTTCAAAAAGGATTCACCACATTTTTAGAGGTTGAAAAGATATTTTTCAATTAGATATGTAAAATTGATGACAAAACAGACTTCAAGAACTTGGGGCACTCTTCACTAACTGCACTGTCACTGTCATGTGGCAGTCCTCACTGATTCTTGGGGGAATGACAAGTTGTGAAAGTTACCACACTATCTATAAGCTGTTCTCACTATGTTGCAAATAGCCATGGCATGACCTTTGCAATGTTGCAACTGATGTTGTATTTATTTGTCTAATTGGTTATCTGATAGGTCCATGGTAAATCTTTTAGCTGAAAATGACTTCAAATCACAAGGCCATTCTGATAATAACAAACAAATATTTATTACTGGCAATTACATAATTCTGTCTTCTTTTTATTTGTAGCTGGGAGCAAATGTATATCATTGCACAAGGACTAATTTCCTTTCAGGCTTTTCACTGTGAATAATCAGTTTAACACCAGTGATGACTTCTTTTCTCTCCGTTCTTTCTTTTAATTCAATTTCTTCCTTTTTAATTCAACTCTGTTCTTCTAACTCCAGTAAAAAGTAGCTCTGTATCTCAGTGGACAAAACAGACCTGACTGGTTCAGATTCTCTGTCTGCATGCTTAGACCTTTCTGTTCATAAATCTTTTGGACACTGAATTATCACATAGGCCTTTTCTTTAGACAAAGACAAAAGAAGATTGTCTTGTCAAAGATCAAATGCCCTTGACTATATAGTTGTGAGCCAATATATTTATTTTTCAAAATAAGGTCAAGCGATGAGAAATAAATATATTTTGGGTGAATAGGAAAATATTTGGATAATTATTTCTCAGTTCAATGATTCTATAACATTCACTCTCTTTTAATTTAAGAAAACAGATTATGGCTATAACCCATTCCAATCTCAAAGCCATAATCAAGGATTTTTTATATGTTCTAATTAACCATTTCATTTGGTTTCTTTTTCTCTTATAGTTTTCTCGACTTTTGTATCTGCTTATTGCATATTTCTCCAATAGAAAATTGTATACCTATTTGTCAATCTCATAGCAGCAATCAATAGAGACTTCCTATTCTCATCAATAAGAAGCCACTTTTTCAAATCATAGGACACAAGATAAACCTCTCTAAAACAGAAACTATGATCTGGAATTGGAATGAAAGCAGTGATGGCACATAACATGAATGTGTAATTCCAGATGTGGAATTAATAAAAACTAAACACTTCAGGTACCTCAGCATATGGATCCATTATAACAAATTTAGTATAGTAGAAAAGGAAATTGAAAACAGAATAGACTGTGCCCAAAGTAGTTTTGTCAAACATTGCAAATTACTACAATAAAACTAAAAACTAGAGTCATGTTCTTAAATAGCCTCGTCAGATTGAGACTTATATATGGATGTCATGTATGGCACTAAATTCGTTCTCGTTATATCTAATGTGTCAACTGTATACAACCACTTTCTCAGATCAATGGTTAAAAGAAGTCACATCACTTGAGGACTACCAACAGCAACAACAACTAAAATCGATAGCACATTACTTGAAGAGAAAACAATGACAATATATAAAAGGTTGCACAAATCATTGTGAGTGTGGGTTGGTTAGGCAACAAGGATTTGTTGAAACATTCATGTTATTTCTAGAAATTCTGCTGTTTTTGCTGAAAATATGTTTCTTCTAAATGTCTGAAGCTGTTATCAACAATGTTGAATAGTGAGGATAAGTAAGTGAAAATTTGAGGCCATCTTTACAACATAGGCATTTTAAAGAAGTGAACATCAGATACTATGAAATTATGTAAAGTGTATTAACCTCTGAGAGTTAAGTGGTCAGAATAATGATATCAATTCTTCAACATGAAAAGTGAAAGTAAATTACATATTCCATAAACTCATGTTGTCTGTGGTGTACTCTTGGGAATTACTAGACAAATTATGTATGATAGCAGAAGCATAAATTTTCAGGTATTATTTCACAATTGCAATATCAATAAATCTAGAATTGGAAAGATGAAGTCTGCTTCTATTGTATTTCTCAACCCTTTTTACTTCAAGGTGCACTTGTAGAATAACAAACTGAGGTGCAATTTTAATAAGGAAAAATAAGTCATGAAATTTGAAAATAGGAAAATAATAAAAGAAGTTTCCTGAAATGAGCATTTATTTTTAAAACATTACATTGTATATTTAAGCCTGCTTGTGTGAAATCTGTTTTTGATGTACTTTGACAAAGAAAATTACCTTTTTTTTGTGATGTCAACAAACACTCGTTTGACCCTCTTGTGATGCCAATGTATACTCATTGTCACTTTTGTAATATTATAGCAGAGACTTTTTAATCCCCGATACAACTATAGTACGTCGTTGAACAAAGCTAGTGTCAGACCACCTTTGAATATCACTTGCACTAATAGTACTTTTTCGATAATACTCGCTCAAATAGTAACCACCAAATAGACAAATAGTATTGTGAATCGAGTAGAGAATAGCAGTGTATAGAATAGAAGGATAGAGTACAAAGTAGGAATAGTGATCCAAATAGAATAGAAATGCATCCTTTAGACATCATGCAACTTCCTATCTATGCGTTTCCTCTATGGTCACGTGATCCACTTAATTCAATGATGGGATTGCCTGTGTTTGTTCACTGGCGATCTATGTGCAAACTCAAGTGTCGGCAGTGACACTTTATTCCTATATAACACCTTTAATGGTTGTCAATTCTGGATTAGCATTCCCAAAGACTAGCAATACAGTTTTCATTTAAAGGGATTTATGAAGAATCTATTTTTTTTTTTTAAAAGAGAGGGTGATAATGCTTTGAAGAAGGCAAAAAAGAAAGGATTATCCACCCCTTAAAGATTAAGGAATTTTGCATCCAGTTTAAATTATCAACTGTCAAAGACTTGACTTAGACATGGAAGCAATATGCTTGATGTTGCTAGATTTTTGAAAATAAAGATTTTTTTTTAAATATAAAAATAATTCATAAATTATACTTCTGTTAACTTGGGATGCACATGGCTACCTTTCAGGGTGTCTTAGTGTGCCCAGGTGCACCAGTTGAGAAACACTGATCATATATTCATTTCCTCTTCTAATATCCTTTGTAGTTTTATTACTAAGGTGGAGAACTTCAAATGGATAAGCTCATCTTAAGTATATTCTGTTTTTTCATTAACAAATCTATTTTTCTAATAAAAATAATATATCTCATGCATTAATTAAAATTATTTCCTAATTGAAATCTTGCAAGGTAAATATTTTTACATGTGTAACAATTATTCTGAAAATGTTCATCTCCACATTTCTATAACTGATGTATTTGTAGTTTCAGATATAGAGTTTTGCAACAAAAATTATATAGGAGAAAAAAGGAGTGTAGAAAGGAGCAAATAAGAATCATCATTACTGTCAGAGAGAGAGAGAGAGAGAGGCGGGGTAGGAGAAACAACAACAACAATAATAGGATGAAACAAAAAAACTAAACATTACAACCATTTTGTTAAAAAATATTTATTGACTCTTAGACATTATGTACACCTACATAAAATCAAGCTATACATTTACAGTCCGTTTTACAATCCATTTTTACTGTTATGTGTGGTCGACTACGAACAGGACGAGCTGGGCGATGCTTTTCATTGTTGGGTGTCCATGATCCAAGACTATCATTAGCATAAAAGTCCATCGGGTAGCGTTCTTGCCAAGAAACTTGCTGAAGAGCAACAGACATCTTAAAAGATAAAAGAAAAATTAGTCAGACAAATCAAGATTAACTCAGACATTTGAAATAAGATATCAGTGCTTAAAGGATAAATCTTAAGTGTTTAAATTTCAATAATAACCTAATGTATAATAAAAATAAAATATTAGGTCATCAACTTCATCTTTTACATTGTTATGGAATTCTTCATAATTTATTCACCTCTTTAAAGAAATTTATTGCTTGTGTAATCAGTCAACAGTTGTATGCTGTTTAGAAACCTTATGAAAATGGGTTCTGTATGAACTTGCTGAAAGAGACATCAACCAGTATTTAAATATTTGCCTTTCTCTTTGTTTGACAAAAGGAAAAAAAACTCTTTTTTGGACAGGATATTCACTGGCATAGAAAGGTCAAGGTTAAATCCAAGACAGCCTAAATGGAATCTTCTGGAAGTGAATAGAGTTTTGTGTTTTGTGGGATTCAAAGAGTACTCTTTATAATGAATTGCTGGAAACTAAGCAAAGTATTAAGCAATTGGCTTGTTTGAATGACACATTGGTAGAAAAAGGATATTTTTCTGAGCAAAGAAGGGAATTGGTGCATTTCCTGTGTGACAATGCTTGTTCTCATGTTACAGATGCAACAGAGCAAAAAATCATGATGCTAGTTTGTTTGAGTGATTTTTTTTTTACAGCTTATCCTTTTGCAGGTTATTTAAAGCCAGAGAAGTCAGTATCTAGATGAGTGACTGCTTGGGAACATCAGATACTGAACAGGCTTAACATTGCTTAACTTCGGTGATCATACAAGAACCAGTGTTTCAACATGACATGTTCATAAACCTCATAATGCTAAGATGGGAAATGCTATAAGCAGTGTAATCTACAAACCAGTCACCTTCAAATTTGTTTCATTTGATAATCCTTGTTTGGTTATCAGATTACACAAATTCAAGATCTCAAAGAATTCATTGAATAAAAACTAAAATTATCATTTTATGATGTAGTATACAGTTTACATGAAAGGTGTCAAAGGTCACAGAAAAATAGGCGAAGGAATGAAAAATTCTGTCTAGAAAAAGGCTGGAAACTTTTTTTAAATTCTACAGGATTACACTAAATAAAAATAAAGGTACTAGCCTCATAAGGTGTTAAGACAGGTTTCTCAAAGGCCATGCCCCAGTCAATTGACAGGCGAGGACAAGCAATTTGAACCCATCTGTAATAAAAATATAAAAAACTGAGTGTAACATTATATATAAGCAACGTACGTTTGTTGAAGACAATTTTGTGTCTGATTCACTGATAGAGTCTATTGGAAATCTTTATTCTTGCTTAACTGAACCCCAGTATCCTTATATTTTTGCCAAGAGAATTATGAGAGAAAAAGAAAAAAAACTCACTGTTCCTATGAGTATCTACTTCATTTTGTACCCATTTTGAAAAGAAAATGGTCTTTGAATACAAATTGCATTTAATAAAAGACCAACTTTTTATGTTTATGATGGGATTCAATTATTATTTCAGTTTATTGTATTGTTAATGCAATTTTATGTCTTTTTTCTATTTCAAATAATTAAGGAAAATAGAAATAAAACTTACGCATCGACAGTAAGGAACAGCTTTAATTTGTCTGGGAATATTTCTGAGAGCAACACAATGATATATTTCTTGCCTTGGCTTTTCAGAGATTCCTTCAATGTCTGTGAATAATAATAAACAAAGCTTCAGAACATCTTTAATAAAAAAAAAAAAAAGCTTTTGTATTTATTATATACAAAAGAAAAGATTTATTATTGAAAATTTATAGATTACAAAAACAAATTTTGACACTGCTCCAAGCAAAATTTTACTCAATGTCAAAAGTATTTTTCAAAAAATGATGGGGGGAAAAAAAAAAAAAAAAAATCAAATCAACATCCATTTTCAGTCATAATGATGAAAATTTTCCAGTCATTTTTAAACTGAATTCTTTTTCAGTAAATGCAGCATTAAACATCATCTTAAAAACAGTTTTGATCTCATAAAATCATTGGTATGATAATCAATAAGAAAAACTTTGAGAATTTTTTGTTAATAAAATGTTATCTCTCTTGAACTTGTAATCTGACGGAAATGCATTTTTTTTATTAAAAATTCTAATTTTAAAAAGTTTGCTAGAGAAAAATTTTATTAATTTTAGGAAAGAGTATTAACAAAGCGATTTTTGACCTTAGCTGCTATGACAAACATTTTGAGTGGTAAAATTGTAAGAAGCAGATGATAGTAAAAAGTAAAAACAGAAGATTTTGTCAAGCAAAATATGTGCTTTATTGTGATTACATGTTTTTCTTAAGTGTTTTTTTTTCTTGGAAAATTGGAGAAGAAAAAAATAGAATTTATTTTTTGACAATAGAGAAAAAGTGAATAAAGAATTTCCACATTTTTTTCACATGGAAGTTTCTCATTGGTCAGCTTCTTGTTTATTTGAGTTAAAGAATTTCCAATGAGAAAGAAAGAACTTTGTATCTGCCTATTTTTATATTTGTTAGGAAAAAAATTTAAAATGATAAATATATAAGACATTGGAAGAATTTTGCCATTGCATTTTTATTTATTTTAAAAGGAAATGGAATCAAAAACCAAGACCACCTTACTTCATAAACTTTAACACTTTAAAATACAGAGTGCTTCAAATTATCATTAATTGTTGTTTAACAAATAAGTAACCAACTTTTCTTCTATTAAAAATTCAATAACAATTATAACTTAACAGAAAAATAGGTTACCAACTTGTTTTCTTTTTTAATGTTAGGAATGTTAATATTTTTCATTACAATTCTAAGTCAGTCTTTAAATTATTAATGCATTTAAGAAAATACTATATCTTGCATATTTTTCATTGATTCTTAGACTAGCAATATGTTATAAGCCTCAATGCAACGGCAGTAGATAATTTATGAAAAAAAAAAATGAAAAAAAAAAAAAAACAACAACTTGATATCAATTGCACATGTGTCTCATAATATGCTTCATATTAAATAGCTTCTTTAGCTTAAGACACATGTCATGGAGAGTTAAATACAAAAAAATAAATTATTTTAATATTTTGATGTTATTTTGATACATCGAATAAATCTTGCTTTGAAATTCAACAAGTCTACCAAAAAAAAAACATCCTTAAGCAGATCTTACCTCAAGAATTTTGGGGGATCCTTGTCTTCCCAAGGTTCCTAAGATGATGCCAACAGTTTCTGCTTCTCTAGCAACAGAAATGGCTTTCTGTCTTATCGCATGCATTTTACTGTGATCATATTTTTCATGAGAAAATACCTTACTGTATGGATCATACCTACAATAAAAATATAATTGTAGAAAATAATCACAACAATCATTAGGAAACAGTGATAAAACATCAAATTTAGACCAATTCTTTTCATGGAAGACTCCCTAGAATTACTTGTACAATTCTTTACTTAATATTTCTTTCTCTTATATCTAATCAACAATAAGAAAAGAATAGTCCTCTATGCCAGGAAAACTAAATTCAGCTTATTTTTCTTGACTAAAGAATAATTTGCTCATGTGTAGGAATATCCTACATATGAGTTTGTTTTGTTTAATGGCAAATAAAATTCCTAGTGAGTCATTTAATGCCACAGCAACTTGGGTTGGGATTTTATATTTGTGTATTATTATTTTGTAGTGAAATTAAGTTTATTTTTTTAACATTATAGTCTTGTCAAAAGTTACATTTAGTTTTTGTACTTAATAAACTGTACTTATGATAAAAAAAAATTTTTTCAGATTTTGGTAAATAGGTGTGTTTCTTTAAAAAATTTTAAAATATTATCCAGATTAACCTTGGTAAAGAGTTCTTTCAGGTTATTTATTTGGTAATATTTGATTCAGGCTAGTTTCAGGTTCTTACATGTTGTCAGTATATAGCTTACTGCCTACACATGAGTAAATTATAGAGGAAGACACATTTATCACATTATAATATTAATATCTGTTTAATATATTTTTGAGGTTACACTAGAAAATATATATTAGCTTAAAGCTATGACAGTCATTAAACTTAAGGTAGTATTTATTCATTTTCTTTTGTGTATATATATATATATATATATATATATATATATACAACTAATTTGAAATTATAAAAATATAAACTTTGACTGACATTCTAAACATTAATTAAATGTAAATTTTCTATTTTTACCTAAATGCTTAAACATTAGTGCTTTTAGATAACGGAAAGAATGTTTTGATAGAACAAACTTTAAGGCGTATTTAATACAATATCATTATGACTTACCTGTATGCAGACACATGTGGATTGGCTATCATAATAGATTCTAAATGGAATCGTCCATCTCCAAGATATCTACAAAGAAAATATTCAAGATTAGTCTTAAATACATTATTCATACTTAAAAACACATTTGCTCTTTTTAATTTTTATTTCTTACATTAGAGAGAAATTGAATTTCAGTAAATCTAGTATTAAGACTAAATAAATTGCCTCTGTAAATGCAGTTAAAAAAGGACATTCTTAAATCTTATTCAGACAATTATAAAAGAGAAATAAATAATTTCAAAAGACATATTTGTATACAGTTGATATTCGATTAACAAACAAGAAAATATTTACTTTACTAATATTTTAATATTCTGGGAAAGATATGCATCACTCACAAAAACTTGACATGCCAAATCAAGCACTCCAACTGCCATCTATTTATACACCCTGTCCAACAATCAAGCAGAAATGGCAAGAGATGATTTCCCAGTAGCAATAAGAGTAGTCTTCATTCAACTATTCAACAAATTTTTCTTTGAAAAAACTGATAAATTCATTGAAGGAATTTTTTTTCCATCTGATTCTCATCAGAGATCTTTTTGCATATAAAGTGATCTAAACACTTTAAAAATGGTAGCCAATAAAAATAGAGACTGGGCAATTAGGTAAGTTTTTATCCTCAAGTGATTACACAATAATGTTATTTTTGCAGCGTTAATGAAGGTATTATTATGCAATAAAATAACTTTCTATTTAAAAATGTTGTTTAAAATTTTATCATTTCAGGTTGATCTATATATACACAAGTATAGTTTTATCTTTTTCAAAGAAGTTATGAAGTAACCAATCATTGTGTCCCACCAAATGCTCACATGACTTTCCAGATATATGAACAGGTTTGATGTTTGAACTTCTCCAGATCCAACCATACTGCAAATCTTGTACAGTTACATTCATTTTTCTTAATGGAAACAATATAGACTTCTGTATACAAAAAGTTTTGTTATTCATTCAAGTCAAATGGAATCCATATATGAAGCCTTTTTTCTTACCAACTACTCTTAAAGAATTCCAAGTGCTACACTGAAATTTACTACAATTTCTCTTACTGAGGTCTTTGAATCATTTTCTACCACTTCTAGCTTTAAAATCATCATTGGTGATTTTGGCTGACCCTTCTCCTGGTTTTCTAAACTGAAATTTCCATTTGCAAATATTTTAGGCCAAAATCTCATTTTTTTTTTTTTTTTTACTAATAATACTATTCTCAAATATGGAATTTATATTCCTTGTAATTTCAGATCAATTATAGTCCCAATTGAACAAATTGGAAAAAATAAAAAAAAAAGCTTTTCTATATTTGCCTAAAAATGTAGCAAGAATTAATGAAATAAAGTTATATTTTTAATAAATAATGAATAATAATTTATTAAAAAATAAAGTATTATAAATATGTTATCTTTTTTTATAGTAAAAAATGCCAAATCAAAATTGGTGATTTGAACAATAAAATAAAATACTCATGCCAACAAACAAAAAAGAAAAAAAAAAGTGCATCAAAAGGATGGTTTTTCCCTTGACATTGCTTTTATTTTAACCACCTTCACTCCTAAGCAAAGTTTATGATTAGAATTGTAACAAAACTTAAACATATGATAAAACTGAATTTATACATTTTTTTATTTTTGAAATATTAAACACTGCTTATTAGATTGTTTATTTACAAGAATAATTTTATATTTACAACATTCTAAAAACTAATACAAAGGAATATTTACCATTTACCAAGTTATAAAGAAATAAATATGAAAGATTTTAATTCATAAATTTATAAACATTTACTAAATTATAAAAATATGTGAACTATAATGAAATCCTTATGTACCATTTTATACAGTTTTAACCAATTGGCAATTAGCCAATGTTCTGCCCACCATTCCAATAAACAATATAATGAAATGGTGTAAATAAAGAATCTAATAAATTGTTGTGGAGTTATTTCACAGTGGAGGTATTGATATAATACGTATTACGCAGTGGAGGTATTGATATAATACGTATTACGCAGAGTAATCTTGTTATGGTCGCTGACTACTTTCATACTCGACTAACTGTCGACTACTGTCATCCGACATTGACTGACTCTCGTTTCTCTTACTACTCCTATTTATATTAGGTGGGGAAGTCTACTAACTATAGAATAGATGTGTTTCACCATAACCCCCCCCCTCCTAAAACTTTACTCCGTAGAAGTAAAACAGTTTTCTTTATTTTTTACAGGAAATATGAAGAAAAAACAAAAAAAAAAAAACTTCATTTTTTTTAACAACATCGTAGTGTATCTCCTACGTTTTGGATCCACTTTTAAATGATCAGTTGCCTTTCTTTTTCTCCTGGATTGGCGTACCTCAGGTAAAATCGTTTCAGGCATTGTTAGATCAAACGTATCAAAAATCACCTCCATCGGCGTTTCTTCCATGGGACCGTCGTCAACTATGTCTGAGGAGCATCGTCTGATCTGGTTAATGTGCCGTCTGCACGTGAATTTTTCACCTTTCACCAAGTACATCATTTTGACAATCCACTTTTCTATTTTTTGGTACCTCCATAGCATTACCAGAAACAACCTTCTGCTTTGAGCTTCTTAAGGATGGGGTCACAGTTTCTGTAGGTTCTTCTTGTGGTTCTATTTGTTCAGCCTCTAGCTTCCCTTTTGTTGATCTTGTGCTTCTTAACGTTTTCTGTGGTGACTTCAGTTGACTTAAATCATTTAATAATACTGCATGTCCTTGGCTGCGGGTAACTCACTCCCCAGTTTTTCTCGGTGTTAGCTTCATCTTTACTTTCTGGAGCTTTTTTTTTTCACATATATCGTCGGTGTTACCCATTCACTATACTCAACTTTTTTAAGTACACCGGTTTTCTCTAATCTTTCCAATTCTTTATCTATCTGTTCAATTGAGGCAAACGGCACATTCCTTTTCTTTTTGAATACTGCCTGAGCGTTTTCTTTTAGCTGGAATTTTGCCTCCATCTTGGTACATGTTCCCAACCCTGGAGAAAAAAACAGTAGGAAATGTTTCCTTAAGTTTTTTTTATTAATTTTTAGGTTTCGGTGTTTAAACTTTCTACCTTGTAACAGAAGGAATTTATCAGTAGATCCCATAACTGGAATTCTGTTATCCAATTCGTACCAAGTAAGTTCGTGGTATTTTCTATGACAAATAGTCTAGCTTTGCATGTTTTTTTATTTAACGTGACGTTTGTAACAAATTCCCCAATAAATTGTATTTTTTCTCCCGTCACTGACCTCGTGATTTTCTTTGTCTTCATTAAAGTTGGTTTCCCCAACTTCTTCCACGTATGCAAATTTATGATAGATAGATCTGAACCGGTGTTTTTATATTTTTATTACTTATTTCAACGGTAACAAATTTTCTGGTTATTCCATCTTTTACCTCGTTGAACTTTAATTTTCTTATTTTATTGTCTTTATTTTTTGACCTGCAATGCGTGCTTTTATGACCCACTCTTTTACAGTTGAAACATTTTTTATTCCTAAAATCGCAATATCTGTACCAGTTTAGTTCACCGCAAGCAAAACATGGCTTCAGGAGTTTTTGTTTATTTTTCTCTGGTATTTCACTTTTTGCTTGATAATCCGCAATTTTAGAATTCTTTTTGGTAGACTGACTTTCTTCTTTGTAGCGTATTTTCTTTACATGCGAAACGTCAGACCGTTCTATCTTCTTTGAATCTTTCTTTAAGCTAACATATCTTGTGCAGTCTTCTGCTAATTTCTGTAACGTAATACTTGGATTGCTTTCCAATTTTGCCAGTACTAATTTTCTCAACTCTGCATCTCTTTCCGATACCAGCCCCTGAACAAACACCAAGCATTTACAATTGTCTTCGCTTAACTCTGCCAGCTTGAATTCTCTACAATGCTTATTCACATTGGTTGCGTACGTTAGTCTTGTTCATCATCTTTCATCAGATTCAAACATTTCCACCTCTTGCGAAACAGAGATGTCTTTTTACTAAATAATTCACTTAATATATTTACCACCTCAGTAAATAGGTTTTTCAGTAAAATGTAGTTTACCAATTTGTTATGCTCAGCAGTTCCTAATTTGCTTAAAAGAAGTCTAACCGTCTTTCCTTCAGACCACGAGTGGCAGTCCTCATTATACACGTCCGTATATTTTTTATAATACTTCTCAAAAGTTATCTCTTCATCTGGACTGTACGTGAATATTTCAATTGAATTCCATATTGTATTCTCTGGGAAAGAATCATTTTGTAGATTATTCTCTTTCCTCTTCTCAGTTATTTCCAGAATTTTGTTTTGAAACTCTCTATGCATCTGTTCCATTTTTTGTTGGAATTGCATTTGTCTATTGAAAATTTCCTCCTGTAGCTGTATCTGGAATGTTTTTTGCACAAATATTGTCATCTGTTGTTCCGACTGGAACTTAAAGAATTCCTAGAATATATTTTTGCATTCCTCTATCTTCACAAAAAGTTTACACAATGCCTAAATACTGTAGAGGGGGGGGTCCAACGAATTTGCAATTCGTGACATATTTGAGCAAACTGTATTATCAGGAAAAACATATTTCTTTTCTCAGTTGAGAATACGACAGATTTTTTCGTCACTAAGTTGACGTCTTGGCTTGCGAAAAACTTTGCGAAGTTTTTTTTTTTTTTAAGTGTGAATCCAAGAATTTGTCACCGAAGTTATTGTGGCGAGCAAATTTTTTCTTCCTCCGTATGAGTGCAAATTTCGTCGCCAAAGTTATTGTGGGGAGCGAATTTTTTTCTTCCTCCGAATGAGTGCGAATCCTCATCGGCAAAGTTGTTGTGTAGTTATTTCGCAGTGGAGGCTTGTATTTGCACTAAATCGGTCCTAAAATAGGTTCGACGTACAAAATGTTAGGAACTTGATATAATAGGTATTACGCAGAGTAATCTTGTTGTGGTTGCTGACTACTTTTGTATTCGACTAACTGTCGACTACTGTCATCCGACATCGACTGACTCTCGTTTCTCTTACTACTCTTACTTATATTAGGTGGGAGAGTCTATTAACTATAGAATAGGTGTGTTTCACCATAACAAATTCACTTTCATATCTTTAGGCTTTATGAAAATTCTAATCACTTTTTTAAAAAAATTGCCAAGTGAAGGTAGTTAGAATAATAGCAGTGTCAAGAGAAAAGCCTACCTTTTGAAACTCCGTTTTTTGTAGGCAAAAAGGTCCAAGATTACCAAAATACTTATGAACATACTATGACAATTTTCTATGAATTACTTACATCAATGCATCAACATCTTCCAGTTTGGGTGAAGTACAACCAAGAATTTCACCAGGGGACAAAGGCTTCACTTGAGGGATCACTACAGAAAATGTTTCTCTCAACTCCTTGGCAACTCCCTGGAAAAAAAAAAAAAAAAAAAAGGAATAATACAAGTTCACTATTATTTGATGAACAGTTCAGAAAAGCATTCATTTGTTGTGTGAACTGTTTTACCCAGAATTTTCATATCCAAATTTATTTTTCCAAAGTTATTTTTATATGCAGTTAGTAGTTTCTGTAGAGTAACAGCAGTAACAAAATTGCTAATATAGTTAAATTTCAATTGCTTTTCCAAAAGTAGAATTGTCAGATGGGACTACAATAGTAAATAAATTGGATTACATTTGAAAGCCTAGTGCTACTAAATTTTGAATTGACTTTCTTTTCTTTAGTAGCCAAGCTTACTTTAAAAGGAATCCCCAAAAGTTGTAAAATTCAAAACTCAATAGAGCTGGGATTTCTAAAGTATTCCAAAGTCTGTCAACCCTGGTCAAGGACACAATGCTAAGAGTAATATTTGTACAGCTATTTATAAAGATTAGTTTTGTCTGGTACAAGGCTAGAATAGAGAAGCAGTCATTGAAGATTAAACTCATTATACTAACAAACTGATCTCAGTTTTCAGTTAGAGAAACAAAGACAGTCTGAAAGATATTTACTAAGCTTAATCTGGTACAAGGCAATACTTACGGGAGACCCAGTGAAAAATCAAACTGGTCTACTCTACAGCAAAGCACTCAAATTTTGTTTTATATGAAAGATGTATATTATTAAAATATCATCTCCAAATAAAATAGACTAGACTGATAAAGCTATATTCTGTAGATTAAAATATAACAATTAGTTTGTATTATTAGAAGTTAGCATATTCAATGTATTTCAATTCTCATTCTGTTAAAACAAAAAGTAAAATTTACCTGAAGAGTTGCAACAAATTGGATAGTACTGACCAAAGCAAGACGTGTATCAGGTTGAAAATTGTATTTAACTGTTTCCACAAAGTGAACATTATCAATCTTTATGTCTACAAACACATACAACATTTGGATTCCTTCTGTAGCACTGATTGGAACTGAAACAGATTTATAGTGTATCAATTACAATTTGAACAATTTTTGCATTGAGGCATACAGTTGACATGGGTTTAAGGATTTAAGAAAAATACAATAATAAAGTAGAAACTTCTGCCATAGAGATTGTATTAAATTAACCTTTATTTACAGATGCTAGACAAATGTTTTTGCAAATTGGAAACATAAATTTGAAGTACATTTATCAAATGTTTCTTAACATAATTTTCAATATTACCTGATAATTATTTAATTCCTCTGATATTTCTATACAGGAGTTATTCAACTTTTCAAAGAGATTTATTAATAAAAGAATACAGTAAACAAATTGAAATTTGTTTTGAATTGTTAAATAAAAGTGAAAATTAAGTTTTTTTTTTTTTAAAACTTTGACTGAAATAGTGAAATAATGAAAGATGCCATAAATACAAACAGAAAAGCAAGACCAAAAACTGACAAGTAATATATGAAAATGGATTGAGATAACAAGAAAAAAAAACAAAAAGCAATGTGAGATCACTGAACAGCAGAAAATGAGATATGATTATATTTTAGTTGAATTTCTATGGCCTCAATGGTTTTCATATATAAGGAAAATGTGTCACTTGAATTTGCTTTTATTTTTCAAAAATGTTATTTTTTTGTTCACAGTTTAAAACCAGTTAATTCTGTGGTAATGCCAAATATTAAAAAAATCAGGTGTTAATCAGCCAATTCAAAATTAGAAAACTGAAAAGTTCATTTAACTCCATAAAATCTAACCAAATAATCAAACATTAGAATGTATTTCAGAATCAATTCTTAATCAGGCTGAAGTTTTTAACAACCTCAATAGAAAATTATAATTTTACTATTTATGTGTTGTAGAAAAAATGTTTTTACACAAATCTTGAGTAAAACAATATGAAATTTTTTACAATAACACAGATTAATTGAACTTCAAACAAGAAGCTATTTATTTATAAAACTACACTTAGCACTTGAGCAACCAAAAATTGTAGAAAATCAATTAAACCTTTTATTGTTCTATGTAAGAAAGGATTAAATATACTTCATAGGTATTCTACACAGCATTTGACAACCTATGCTGAATCATGAATTATTTTTAAATGTGACTAAATTTTACACACAATATACAAGTAAAAAAAACATTCAAATAAAATACATACTTTAAATTTTCACAATTTGATAATTTTTCAGAACAGTTTTTTTAAATGGCATAATGCATTAAAAACTAACTAGATTTTATATTTTTTAATCTTTTAGACATTTTCCAAACCATTAGAAAGAGATAAATAAAAATCTTTGTACTCATATCTTTCAGTTTTAAATGCTTTTAAAAGATAGAAAGATTATCTATCTATGGTGGCATAAATAAACACTTGTTTAAAGTTTTATACTTTATAATGGTTTTATTTTAGCGTATTACACAAATTCTAAATGAACAATGTTAGAATCAGCTTAAAATTACAAGGAAAACTTTTCTTACTTAAACAGCTATGACCATAATGTATCATGAAATCAGCTCCTAAAGCTTTGGCAGTGAAATCATCAACACAACAAGCTCCATATGTGACATCACCCATAATCAATGTCTCAGCACCAGTAAATCTGTAAATGAAAGGAAAAGATTTTAAGCCTCTTTAAATGTTCACTTTATGATGTAATTTGCAAAATGTTAAATATTCACTCGATATGAAAAGAAAAACACAAACTCTTTGTTAAAAAGAAAACATCAGCTAAAACTGTATTTGTTGTACAATATGATATAGAAAACATCAAGAACCATCAGAGGTTGTGCAATTTCTGGCCATAGCTAAATGGTTACTTACTGTTTTATGATATCTGATATAACACAGGCATAAATAAGGAGGCCTTCTGGAAACTGGAGAGCAACTGAAAAGAGATTCAGGCAAATGAGGTATAAATTTAAAGTTATGAAAAGTAAAAATAAATAAGTATCTTGATAAATATTTTTTAATTATGCTTATCTGTTGATATTTCACTTAATATATTTCAATATGAATATTATTCAACAAATTATAAATCTTTATAGTAACTTTTATGCATAAATAAGCTGCCAATCAACAATTATGAATGTATTTTTCCAGTAATTTACTTCATTAGCCAGTTTTATGAATAAACAATTTTAAAATAAGACAAAGATTATAAAATTTGAACAATAGATCTATGAAAATATTTAGCTATTAAAAATAAATTTTACTTAAATGTAAAAAGTACAAGACAAAATATGCAAGTAAGTATTGAAAAGACCTATGCCTGCTCAAGAAACCCTTAGGAAAAAATATCTGATGTTTGGTCAGATTTTCAGAAGGCCAGGCTGAGAACTTCTAAGCACATCTTTATATACTTAATCGTTTACTTAATTCAATATATTTCAAAGAGAATACAATGATATATAAATAACTTCCTACATGTTTACTGATATCCTATGTAGTGTTAAATATAAAATCCTTGAAAAGTATAGAATGTCATTGTTTTCTTTGTTATTCAGCCTTAGCTTAGCTTTTTTATGTAAAATGAAGCCAATCCATTGAATCCATTTTTATTAAGAATGTCATTATAGCCAGAGTATAATTTTACTGAAATTATGTTATTCAGCAATATTTGTACATATAGCAAGCAATAATGTCAATTATAATAATGTATAATGTTTCACCTTGTATATAATATACAATTAAAAATTGGGTTATTAACTTACCCCTTTTTGATCCAGAACTTTTGATCTTCCATACACTTTTATAGATTTCAAAGTTATAATTTTTTGGTAGCTAAACCAAAAAAAAAAAAAAAGAAAGAAAAAAATGTATTATTATCTATCTAAATAAATAAATGGCAAATTCTGTCTGTGTGTCTGAAATCCCTCTAACTCAGGCCACACATGCTCTACATAGACGTATTATACCTTTTTGGAATCAGGATGATCCCAGGATTGAAAATATGCCCTTCATCTGGTGCCTGAACATCCAACATTGGGATTTGTGTCTGAATGAGGAGCAAACAATTAAAATTCAAATTTTAAAATAACTGAAGAAAAAAAAATTTAGTGATTTTAAAAGTTTTTAATTTATATAGAGTTTAAAAATTTTGGTTTTAAATTCAGTTTAAAATATCTCCAAAACTTTGTGAATCGAGGAAATCAAATTTTATTTCTTCAAAATGCCAAGGAATCAGAGTTAAAGCAAGAGGTTTCATGATATGAGGTTTTGAAGTTGTTGTCCTCCTCTTGAACCCATCTTTCCCAGTTTTTGGGGCTGCTACCATGTACCCAGGGTAACTGTTATGCTGTAGGGTACTATTTATACTGACCAATTCTTTATCTAATGTCTCTGGGTCGCCACTTATGACTTTTGCTCACTGCTGTAAGCAACAGACGATCCCTTTCTTTACGCTGCATGGATGGCAGGAGTTGAAATTGAGGTACTGTCTGGTGAATGTTGGTTTACGGTATACAGATGTCTTGAACTCATGCTCTGTTCAAGATATTAGAACATCCAGGAATGGCAGTGTGCTGTTACTCTCTTTCTCCATTGTGAACTGTATTGAAGGTCTTATTGAGTTCACATGGTCCAGTAGAACCTGAACATCTTCCTGGTGTGGCCAGAGTATGAAGGTGTCATCTACGTACCTTAATCATATAGTTGGCTTTAGAGATATAGATTCTAATGTCATTTCCTCAAAGTATTCCATGTATATATTTGCTATTGCTGGTGATAATGGCGAGCCCATTGCTAAGCCATCATCCTGTCGATATATGTGTGATCCCATTCTGAAGTGTGTTGTTTGTGTACAGAAAGTCAACATTTCCATCAGATTATCTATTGGAATACTGGTCCGTTCTCTGACTACTGTGAGTGCCTCCTCCGTGGGTACCTTGGTGAACAAACTCACAAAGTTGGCAGAGTTTCGGACATATGAAGGAGACTTTCTGATCAATCGGTCAATTATATCTACAAGGAAGCGACTCAGAGGGTGGCACACACAGCCTTGGCAACTAACAATTGTAATACTGTCTTTATGAATCTTAGATAGACTGTATATGTATATATTTTACATCAGTATTGATTTTTGTTCTCCACTCATAATCTTTTTGCCTTTCGAGGAAAACTCCAGGCAAAATAAAAGCACAACTGGTGAAAGTTACAGAAGAATGCATCAAAACTCATATCTCGGCAAATACACAATGACTAGATACTAGACAATTGTATCAGGAAACCAGCAGCAGGTGAAAATATCGAATGGACAAAAACACCCATTCCCACAAAACATTACCACTTTCTTTGTATTTGGTGCTAGTACTGATGAAGTAAAATGTGGCATACCAACTAATTATGGGTGTATATTTGGTACCATGATTGTGTGTATATGCATAGAATTACCTATTGAAAAGTGATGATGTATACTGTTCTATGGTAATCAGGTGATGAAATACTTATCTTTCAATAAAATCAAAGCAAATACCTTTTCGACAGCATTTTGAAGATCTGGGTTATTTAAAATATCTTCAGGAATTTGATTGGCCACTCGACGTTTGGAACCTACAAAAATGATCAGAAATCTTACTCAAAATTGAGCATGTGCCTGAGCATTACTATACTGAAAATAATTTAAAATGCAAAATAAGCACTTAAAATTAAAATTATAATAGAAACATTTCAGTATTATAATTTCAGCATGGAACTCTGTACACAATATTTATTTTTATATTCAAATATTAAACACAAAAATGTGGTACATGGCCAAAAGTTGTGAGGTTGGGGAAGAATGCAGGTCTTAATTGTATTCACTGATCCAACCAATCTTTTAGAAATCAAAAGTCACCAAAAATTCTAATGATGAATTCCTTAGCTAATTTAAACAAAATCAAACTAAAACAAAGACAAATCTATTCTAAAGAATGCAACCAGATAAGAGGGGAAAAAAAAAGAGGTAATTCTTTGTAAAGTTCCTTCAAACATGTAACCTTCAACCACCAGTCTACAAAGACATAAAACTGTACAGTGAAAAAGACTTGCTCAATGGCTGTCTCCATACTACCAAAATGGACACATTCTGGCAAAATGCCCAGTCTCGTAATGAAAGACCTTTTGTTGGGACAGAGCACTCTTTGAATTACCAGCCTTATTAGCGATGCATTTCAACTGTGGTACCACCACAATTAACACTTGATATATCTTTCTTGGAAATGGCCAGGTGTCAGATAGGTCAGTTTTTACCTGAGAGAAGACACTCAGAGCCTGCTGACATTTGCAATAAAAAAAGCACTCATTTCAGTCAGAATAAACAGTGTACCTCCTTATCACCCAAGTGCATGCTTCCTAAAGCCAGAAAGCTTTTCTTGGCATCTTCCTTCCAGAATCTACCATTATCATCTTGTATACACACATCTGGTCTAGGAAATATAATCATAAGGTATGCTGACAAATCTTAATATCTTACAAAATAAGTATACCCCTCAAATTGTGGAGATAAAAGAACAAAGGATGCACACAACAAAAGTAGCAAATGAAATGAAACCAGTGAATAATGCTCAAACAACAGATGATGGAGCAAGACTGAAGATCTATGAAATAAAAAGAGCCTACAACAGGGTATATCATAGACATCACTTCATTTGCATGGATTCAACTTAGTGCTCAACATGTAGCAAGATTAAGTTCTGAAAATTTTATTTTTAATATTTTATCTAACTCTGATATGGATATGAATGGCCAACTGTATATTATATATAATATGCTTTCTATCATTAATAGATTGAAAATATATTAGGTATACATAATATACAATTTTAGCGTTAGACTAGGGTTTAGTTAGGATCAGGATGAAGTAATGATGAGATAGAAAAGGCTATATTATTCTGAGTAAGAGGTTTCATAACATGTAATATATAAAAAACTAAAAGATTAATAATTTTCAAAGCAGTTGAAAACAAATTTTAAAAATGGTTTAAAGTGTTCAAATGTGAGAGCTATATAAACTTGCATCATGTATATTTCTCAGATACAAGATACACCAGGTAATTGAGAACAAATTATAAATTAAAATAAATTCAAGAGAAAAAAATAATCAGTGTAATTTTTCAGAAGAAATTTGTACATGATCAACTTAGGAAAACTGAAAAAGGTTATTCAATAAAAAACCCCAGCTTTGAGGACAACTCTAGTACAGACTTAAAGTTATTAGCTTTGTGGGGTCTATGCCAAGTCGACTATCATTCCTCCTGCATTCCTTAAGCATTTCTTAACCACGGGGTCTTGTTATACTAATGTCTCCATCGCCTTGATAGGTTAAGTATGGTGACCATATTACAAGCTATGTAATGTTATACTAATGTCACCAAGGCCTTGATAGGTTAAGTATGGTGGACCAGAATTGACAAAAATTTATGAATCCTAAAATGTATTTTTCTTTTTTAAACTACCAGGTAATTTTTTAAAATTAACAAAGTATTTTAAGCAATTACCTAATACTTTATTGAATTTTTTTTTTTTTGTACATTTGAAGATGCTTTCTGAAAATATAATAAAATTTAAAATACTATAAAAATTTCTTAAATCAATAACAACATTTCATAAATTATTGAGTTACATCTATAATGGTATTTTTTTTAATTATCTTTTTAAATTCCACTTGGGCAGCATCTAATTTAGGTCCAGAAAGTTGTTTTACCTTGGCAAAAACTGGTATGTGACTTTCAGTATTTATTCTATGATAAATGGCACTATATTTTTTATTTATCTATTTGTGGTGAAGTAACATTTTTATATTTGCCTATGATTTCACTAATATTGCAGCCATATCCATGCCATTCACTATTATGTTATTTACAGTCCCTATAGTCATTTTTACTGCCACCTTTCTCTCTGTTATGCTATTGCTAATACATTTATTTTTACAGTCTACAACTAATTGGAATGGTTTCAAAAAGTCTAAACAAAGCAATAGATTGGTAATATCAGCGATTACAAAAGTCCATTGATAAGCAAACCTTAATGAAGGTATTCTTATTTCCAAATTAGCTTCAACATAGCTTGTAATATGGTCACCACCAACAGATGAAAGGTGAACTGGTGTCGGCTCCAAAAGTATACCAACAACAGCTGAACGAGGCAAGATGGAGACACTAGCACCTGTATCTACAATAAAATCTATTTTCATAGCTCCTATTCTAGCTGCTAGTGTTAGTAGTGGTGAACCTGAGGGTGCTACTGTGGTCCACCTTACAAGTTTTCCAAATCACTATGGGTAGGAGATGAAGGACAAGAGTTTGGTAACATTCGTATATTATTCTTTCTCTTATGTGGCCATTTGCACTATGGGTTGCATGTACAAGCCTCGTCTGCAAAGTATAAATGAGCTTTGCAGTCTTTCAGTCTTTGTTTTGTGGAAAAAGGACGCAATCCTATAGGAATTGTACTGTTCTTATGTTGCTTGTGTTCAGGTTCTATAGCCTAGCAGACTGACACATTTTGAATTAGTGGCATCAAGGTATCACATAGCCTACTTATGTCTGTTAAAGGCATTTCTGTGTGCACTGCTATAACCGGGGCAATTTGTAGTGGAAAGGTGTTAATGAATTTGTGGCACACTATTTCATCACTTGCTCCAATCCTACTTGCAATGGCTGACATTTCCTGCAAATATAATGATGAACGACCATTCAATGCAGTGGTCTTCATTAACTTCTCCAACAGCTCTGGCCTGGTCTTTTCATAAGCATTCACAACTGATTCTTTGAGTTTCGTATAATTTCTTAATTCTAAAACGAGGGCCAGAATGTTTGTAATGACATTGGGAGGCAAGGTACGAGTTACAATGTAAAATTGTCAGTGGTCACTTGTCTCAAATGAAATTGCAATTCAATTATAGTGAACCAACCAGCAACACTGGTCTTCATAAATTGTGGAGGTTTGACACTAACTTGCTGCACCTCCATTTTTATAAATTGTTTTTATACAACAGTACGGAAATATACAAGATAGAGGAAACTAAAGAGGAGAAATCGGTAACTTACCCAGATTTATGCTTTTATCATATGGTCAGTCATGTGTTTTTTTTTCTGAAGGGAGTTTGTTGGAGTTACTACTATGTAGCTCTTTTTGTGGAGGGTGTTCTTTTCAACGTCAGGATTTACCAGTATAGTATATAGAGATGAAGGTTGGGTTAATACATAAGTAAAGACCAAATTTACTGTCTATACTAACATTTTTATTTGACTTCATGTAGTTACAGTGGCTAAAGCAGGTGACTATCGTCTTAGTCCTTTTGTGATTTAAGAGTTCATATGGGGTCATTGTGTTTTTGGTTGACAGAAATTTGTTGAATTCATCCTTTCTTCTTCTTCTTTTCCTTCTGGAGTTGTACATCCGGTCAAACTCACAGCCAATGAATCTCCAACCATTGCGTCTTAAACTGCTATATCGAACCAATTTCCCCACTTCTCATGCACGTGGTTTTCATCTTCTTTTTATTTGGCTTGACACAGTGTTTTCCATTTGATTTTTGGCAGGACGTGTTGTCATTAGTAGATTTTTTGTGACATTCACTAACCCACATAAGCTATGTCCAGGTTCTGTCAGTTACCAAGGATAGGAACAATAGAAGGAAAAGAAATATGTGTATAATAGAAAAGAGAGAGAGGGTTTTCTTTCTCACTCTCTTAGTGAAAAGAAAAGTATATTTCCATAAGGTGTTTCTACTACACATTTATGAATAAGTCCTGAAAATTTCTTTGAAATCCAACAATTATTTGATTTTTGCAAGACTTTCCAAATTAAATGTTATTTTACCGAAAAACAAGTGCGAAAATGTCCATTACCATCTCTGTTACACCACTGACACTTAAAAATCAAGACTCAAGAGTTTTACTTTTAACCCAAATTTCGAATGTGTTAGAAAAGAGTAAAAAAGAATTAAAAAATACTTTAATCTTTCTTTTCTCTTAGTAACAAACATTTTGATGATAAGCATTTGTTTATGGGTCCTTTTTTTTTTTAATCATGCTATGCTGATTTTTAGCGAAAAAGTGGAGGTACCTATACAAAGAATGGAAGAGCTCTGCAGAATAAATTCTCTGGAATTTCATTAACATTTTTAATCTTGAAAATATTTTCTAAGGTATTTTAATTGCATTACCAATTCTACCATAAATGACAGATTTAAAAACAGTATGAACTTTGATAACGCAAGTTTTATTTCAATTCAAACAATCTATTTGAATTTGATCACCGACTAGGTACAGTCAACATCCACGTTTACTTTAACTATAGGTTAGGTTAAAAAAGGGTATAAGAAAAATGAAGCAAGTGGAATTAATTAACATTATTCATTAGTTTAAGTTTGCAAGCACACGACACAAACTGATTATTGAAAAAATAGAAATATTCTTAGGATAAAAACGATAAATAAATAGATTTTTTTGTTGATTAGTTACGAATTTTACTATCGAAATACAATGCAAGTCAAAAATAATTCATCGGAAAAAGTAAAAACCACGATTTTAAGAACTTTCGTTAATCAATGTTCTTTTGTTTTGTTTAGTATTTGTCATGTTAAAAATACGTTTACTGGTGAAATTAATAACTGATTAATGAAATAATTAGCCCTCACCCCAAAAGACAATTACATAAGCAATAAAAAGAGATATATAAATAATTAACAAGCCGAAAACCAAACAAAAGAATGACAATATTTCAAGAGAAAAACTAACAATCACACCGTGCGGTCAGCGATAGCATATAACAATCTTTTTGTAAAATAACTTTAGATTTATCAAAGAGGCGACATATTTGTAATAAAAATAACAAGGAAAGGCTATATATCAGATCCAAATTATACTTACCACCTGAAAATACTTTTTTAGAACTATTATTAGCTGAAATTACAACAGCACCACTCCGCACTTCTGTATCATCAGCCATACTCGTATTTTTATTTGGGAGTTGTCTCCCGTTAAATAACTTTATTTGTGGGTTGTCTCACTTTACATAAATTAAAGAAATAATCAGGAAAATATTTTTAGATGGCAATTTTATATTTTTGTCTGTTAAAAATAGAAAACACATTCATCTCTATAAAAGCTAACAGGAGGAATTTTACAAAACAAATTAAAATTTGAAATAATGAAAGATATTACTTTCATTAATTTGCACTTTTTTCTCAGATTCTGTTATATAGTTGTCTCCACTTGAACCATGTCATTTCAAATTTCTTCACCACTTTAAAGTTTTGATTTAACTCTTTCAACTTCACTGTTTAGTATATTAGGACAGCAATATTTATCATCTGAAAAAGTTGTCATTTTGCTTACAATTAATAAATCCAACATATACTATTCTGCTATATCTTGTCTATTTTAACTTTAATATACTTCTAATATACTTGTTGCAGCCTCTGGCTGTTGTAGCAGATTGCATTAGTTGGTCAAAGTTGAGTTTATAAAAAAAACAGATTGTTATAATCAGTACAATTTATTTGCATTATTTATACAAGTTTCTGTAAGTTTTGTCACATTATATGCAGATTGGCATTAATAAAATCAGAACAATATGTCTAGCTAGATACACAAGACTGAAGTAGTTATTTGTGTTTCCTTTTTATTATACAAAATACAACACTAAGAATATTACATGAATAGATTAAGATCAAAAACCAATTGTTATAATCTTCATAAACCAGATCTTCTTCTAATTCATGTTATGCAAATTTCCACTACTGGCTGCATGTAGACGCTCTGAAACCCAAGACCAACCTAAAAATCCCATCGAACACGCATCGGCTCCACACACACCTTCCACTTTCCTCACTCCCCCCCCCCACAAAAAAAAAACATACAATCCAATTGTTTAGCCAATAGCACTCACTCCCGCCTAAAGAAGTGAAATAGGAATGAAATCCCCTACTGAGTTTTAATGGTTAAGCAGAAATATTTCCAGCCTCAAATCTTTTAGGACATTTGTATGTGAATATGATAGCCATTGCCATTGTACTAACAAGCATAAATAAAAGAGCAGAATTCAAAAGTAAATTATAATATGCTCTCATAAGGAATCCATTTATCAGCAAGGTCAGAACACTTAACCTTTTCAAGACTTTTGTTAAAGGCCAGAATTATGTCCTTTCTAAATACTGTCAAGAAAGAGTAGTATGTTCTAGAAGTTGCAAACACATATATAACTTTCCATGCATTCTGCATTAAAATTTATTTTTATCAAATATAAATTAGCTATGAGTTGAGATATACTAATGATAATTTTTCAGTAACAAATTTTAGGTATAATTATTTATGAGCTGAAATGAGATCAATTATAAGAAATTTAAGCTGCTTGAGCATATATCATCTGCTTTTCTGAGAGAAAGCAGATGTTGTGTTGGGCTCTTGCTTAAACTTTTGAATTTAAAAAATATTTTTGGTACATTTCAATTTGTGGGAAAATAGATGCATTTGTTTTTTAATTCGGAACCAATCCAAAGGTTTCCCTCCAAATTCTGAGAAGTGAATTTGGAGCCTACATGAACAAATAAATTGAGGGTCAGGAATTGAATTTGAGGAGTTGACAAACAGCTGCTGCATGAACCCAGGTCGCCTAGGTCCAGGAAGAAAAACAAGACAGAAGAAATTTGACAACTACCGGATGAGACTTGAAAGGAACATCAAAGTCGCTCAAACATCAAGGAAAATTCTTTGGCTGGTGTGATTGTTCTGTTCTTTGCTGTTACCATGAACTTTGCTTCAAAAATTGTACCTGTTTTTTGAAAACTATTCAGAGAAGTATTTTCTCCTTTCTTCATTTTATTTTTATATTGTTTACCTTTTCTGAGGACTTATGTTGCCTTGTAATTTTTATTGTAAAAGAGGTATTTTTCATTTGCATTGATTATTTTTACATACATGTTATTGGTCATCAATTGGCACACAAAGCATTTAATTTGAGTAATTCTTTCATTTTTGTGTGTTAACAATAAATTTATCATCTGTTTTTTAAACTTGGCTTGTGTTGTCTTTGTTGAATGCCCTTATAAACTGAATGTTACCTCAAATGTTTGTACTATTTTTTATAGGTTTTTATCAAATAAAAAATCCTTTACAATTGAAATAATGTACAAACTAGTATTTCATGCAAATTTTAATCTTTGACAATTTCTTGTTATTAAAAACAAGTTCTGATTTAGACATTATGCCAGTGTTTTATTCTCTTTGATTACTGTAGCCTGCAATGTATAATCTGGAAAAACAAACTAATAAATAGATATCTACTAGTACAGCTTATGAAAGTGTGGGTGCTAAATGGTCTTTTTTTTAATTATTTAAATATTCTTCTTATTTAAAAAAAAAAAGACATTAAAAAGATTAATACTTTTAAAAATGTAAAAATAGTTTATTTCAGTTATAGGCAATCTTTTTCGAGCAGTGGGCCACATGGTCAATGGCTCATTACAAAGTGGGCCACACTACTAAAAAGATTCAAGGTAATTTTTTATAGTAGTTATCTCAGATATTTTCACTACAGAAGCTTATACCTTAGAAATGGGGAAATGTTTTGGGTTTTTTTTGAGAAAGGTTTTTCTATAATTTAAAAAATTAAAATGTTGGTATAATATTATCATTGATGACAGAGTGATTAACACATGTCACTGCATGTGATTTATTTCTAATTTATTCATTTGAAAATATGTGGTGGTGAGGGTGAGGATGATGATTAGGAGAAGGGGGTGCTTTTACAATGTGAGAAACCAGCAAAACATAAACATGCATGTGCATTTCTATATTACGAACAATTGCTTATTTAAATGATATATAAGGTATTTTGCAACATTGGTTTTTATTTCTTTTTAAATTTTAGGTTACTTCTGAAATAGAGCAGAACATCTTCCAGAGAAGTGAACTTGGCTACTTAAGTAAACTTAAATACATTCTCACAGCCAATAAATATATTCTGAGTTATTTTACATTGAATTAAAAAGTATACAATACTGATTTTAACCAATCAATTTTGTAACTGATTCCAATTTTGTAACTGATACCAACCTGAACTTAAATGAATTGTTCAGCTGATTATACTCCTGTACATCATCAATGGGAATAGTCTTCAACTTTCATTTTAATCAAAATGATTATGTGTTGCTTTCAGATGATATTGTAACAGTTTAGCCTTATATTAGAAGCAACCAACTGTAGAGATTAAAGGAATATCCTAAGAATCACTAAAATGCCCAAAGGTTTCCCAAATGTTAAAACAAACATAAAAAGAATCAAACCTCTTTTCTCTGCCACTAATGGTAAGGGTAATATTAGCCATTTCCTTATAAGGAAACATTTGGCATTCATTGATTGAGCAGCTACTTTTGGTTGATATCTATAAAACCATTTTTCAGGAAAATAGATTTCTTGAATTCACTTTTATCACTTTTTCCAGTATTGATGATGGTTTCCATCCTTATCTTTTGTTTGAAGTAGTGTGGAATATCAACATCTTTATGCCATTATTTTCTCTTTAATTTACATGTAACATCTATTTTAGTTGTTGCTGTTGTTGAAAGTCCTCAAGTGATGTGGCTACTCTTATTTGGTGCACTTCTTTGTTTATGATTCTGTAGTGCTAGTTCGCAAGGCTCAAAGAAAGGTGGTCCTAACTAAGACTTACACTCTTCAATTGCCTAAAATAATTTTTAATCTGATCTGAGAAAACAGTTGTATACAGTTGACAGTTCAAATATTTCTGAAGAGGTTTGGTGCTATGCATGGCATCCATATGAAAGTCTTGTCTGATGAGGCTATTTAAGAACACAACTCAAGTTTTTTAGGTGAATGTTTTGGTTTTGTAGTAATTTGCAGTTTTGGGTGAAACTACTCCTCACTCAGCAAATTCTATATTCAATTTCCTAATCTTCTATACTAAATTTGTTATAACACTGAGGTATTTGAAGTGTTTAGTATTTATTAATTCTACATCCTGAATTTTTATGATGGATTCAGAGTAGGTATTGTTATAATCATATTTTGCCAAGTAAATGGCACGGAAGAGATACCTGAGAACAAGCTGCAACAAGTCGGAGACTTGTAGTCACATGTTCCCTTCCCAAATTGATAACACCACCAGACAGTTTTAGCCAGGTGAAACTTACAACAGATATGGCTACGCTACATACAACTGCACCAAATTGATTGTCCAATCAAACATCAGTACGATTGTTGCTAGGCCAAGATTCATCCACACAAAGAAAACCGGGCATATTGGCACACGTAAATCAAAACAGAGGAATCAGATGAATCTGAGACAAATCCAAGAAGAAACAAGAGATGAACCAGTAGAGGATCTGCAGAGAAAACTGGAGACAAAACAGAGAAAATTAAATAAAAGGTTAATTAAAAAAAACATTCAGCACAAGATCCTAAGTCTTTGGCAGATATCCAAAGGAACAGAATAAGGAATGTAAATACAAATCTGGCAACACTGAAGTCCAACTGTGAATAGTGGGGAGCATAACAGTACTATCATTTCAATCCCAGATCATAGTTTATGTCTTGGAAAGGTTTATCTTAAGTCCTATTTATTGATAGAGAATGCTTCTTTTTTTTTTGTTCAAGATCATTCTGATCCCAACTATGAACACCTATTATCATTGACATAGAGCCCTACATTGGCCTTTGGAAGGAAAGCAAAAATATTTTATATTATTAGATTCTCTTTGAAATATGGTATGGAATGCTTAAATAATCCTTGCCCATTTCTTCACATCTGTTCTTGTATGTGGGCAATAGATAGTCTGGGAAAGGATTAAATAGATCGAGGCTCTCATTTCCTCCTTGTTGTACTCCTGATGACATTTGAAATATTTTGAGATTGGGATTTTCACCAGACATGTATGATTTTGTGAACCAATATAGTTCCTCTATCAGTTCTAGACATAGTTTAGCCAA